CGCCGTGGGGGGTGTCCCTGCCAGCCTCTGCCCAGCCCCACCACCTCTTGTTTCTGTAGGGCCTACACAAACGCTGCACCGTCCCATGGGAGGGGGGAGCCCCAAGCCTGGGGGGTACAGGGCCTAGGGGGGTGGCAGCACTGGCCAGCCATGATGGCCCCGAGGGGGTGACGGTGGCCCCACGACCCCGCAGAGGAAGGCAGGCAGGTGGCATGGCCTCCCCTGCTTCCTTCCTCCCCGCGGGGTCCCGGACCCCTTCCCAAGCCTCCCACAGAGGCCTGGGGATGCCGTTTTGGGGGGGCACCCAGCCCTGCAGTGCTGCAGTGCCCTGGGGCCGAGGTGGGGTGGCTGGGGGGAGCAGCCAGCCCCCCCAGCCTGGCAGCCCTGCGCACACAGATGGCAGCGCCTTGGCAGCCGGCGCGGCGGCATCTGTGCCTTCGCGCCTGCTGCCCACGGGGCGCTGCCGGGAACAGGACGCTCTGTGTGGGGGGAGCCGGCCGGCAAGGCTGTCCGTGGCCCTGCAACCGGGTGGATCCAGGGTACCCCCGGGGCGGCACCCCCTCCCGCTGCAGGGGGACAACCAGGATGCGGTGGGACCGCGGGTGGGCATTGCAACAGCTCGGGGAGCACGGGTACAGGGACACCCCGAACCCTGGGAGGATCCTGGAGCCCAAGGGAGCTCCGGCACCCCCGTCTCTGCACCGGGATGACGGCTGACACCGGGACCCCCAGCACTCAGCCCCGCAGTGGTGAGAGCTGGAGCCGGCCAGCATGCGCGGCAGTGGTGAGAGGTGGAGCCGGCAAGCATCCCTGCACGGGGCCAGCAGCGAGATTGGACCAAGGGAGCCCAGGCAGAGGAACCAGGGCACCCTATGGACACCCCACACTGCAGGGCTGGGCAGCGCATCCCCGGCAGTGGGTGCTCCCGGCACAGTAGGAAGCGGCCTCTGGACTTTATAACTCATTTCCTCACATGGCTGCCGGGCAATAACAGATTGGAAGAAACTGGTTTCCATTTCCCCCTGCCCCGGCAGGGAGCCTTGGCACCGCCCC